AACAAATTGAAAGCAGAAGTAGAACCAGAAAGTTCAGGAACCAGTGAGGGTTTATTGTGTTTGTTAACAAGAGAACCCCACCTCCATGAGTGGGACTCCTGACCAAGGAAAAGGGGAAGGCTTATATGGGTTTCAGTTAGAAGGGAGGTAAGCTGGGTGCAGGAAACCTATGGATTGGACAGGGCTTATTACTGGGGGTATAGGGGTAAGATTGGGTTTACGTAACAGGAAAAGAAATTCTTTGAGTTAGCTGAAAACAAATGACCAGAGTCCAGAGGTTTTGCAACTCCTATTAAGTCTAAAAATACTGAAAAGCTCACATAGGTTATCACAACCACAGTTAACTCTGAAATATCATATGTGTGTGTGTATGTATATGTATATATATGTATATATACACATAGGTATACACACACATATATACAAACATGTATATATAAGCTTTTTGCTTACAACCACTGTTAGCTTTTTGGTTTATATATGTATACATACATACATACATACTTACACACACAAATATACACACATATATCTATATATATGGAGAGACAGATATAAATATACAAAGAGCTAACAGTGGTCATAAGCAAGAGCTTTTTTTTATTTCATCGGAGGAGGAAAACTAGACCCATGTGCCAGGGCTCCCTCTAGTAGAAGACTTGCTTTCTGTGCGGGCAAATCTTGGCACATATGTCAATGGCTACGCAGCAAGCTGTAGCCCTGACAATGAGGGGTAAGAGCAACAATGAGACAAGTTTGATTCAGAGCGGGCCTTCGTGACCAGGACGTGGGGACGGCAGGTGCTTGGTTGAGCTCAGAGACCACTCGGTGCTGGTGTGAAACAATTCTGGGATTTTGCTGTGGCTGAGATCATCCAGAGAATGAGCACAAAGGATTACTGTTATGCCAAGCTCAGAGCACAGTTTGCTTGCCTGGCCTTAGATCTGGAAAAGATGGTGTCTCCTAATAGTAAAAGGAGGGAGTAAAAAGAGAGGGGTGGTCTTGGCATGGTCTGGAGGGCTGTTTCTCATAACCCTGCCCTAATGGATAGGGCTGTTCTGGATATTTGCTGTTTTAGCAGAAAGAAGGGTTGTAGGCAGGGCTGGAGTTGCGATACAAACAGGGTCGGGAATAAAATCAGAGTAGCTATGGACAAAATGGAGTTGCTTCAGTTTTCTTGGCTACTTCTACCCCTAAATCTTCTTTCCAGAGATGACATCCCGAGCCCTTCACCCATCCCAAGGCAGGAACCCAGCACTGTTTCCAGTTTGGTTCTTCAGTTCCAGACGCTATTGCTGATGAATGTCTTCCCTCCAATGTGACGCCCCTCCAGAACCCAGTACAGTACTTCATATATCATAGCACTGTGGCAGACTCAGTAGAAGTGCACTATACCTTTGGCTGGGGCATGCCTTACCCAGCACTAAAAGAATGGATGGAGGGACTGGAAATGTTAGGAGTGTTAATCAGATGTACTTATTGGAGAAAACTCACCTTCTACAGTAGGCCTTTCTCAGGGCCACCAGGAGCTTGTGCCTTTGTCTTTCAGGTCAGCCTCACTTTTCCTTACAGATCTTCTAAGTACTTCCTAATTGACCTGTTGATTCCTCCTTCAGAATGTGAGCTCTGGGAGGACAGGAGCTCTCCTTTTGGTCTTTCTTTGTATTCTTGCTGCTCCTTGGCCTAGAAGCAACATGTCCTAAATGACTGCTGCCATCTTCACCTGCAGCAGGGAAGTTGTGTTCACTGTTTTTAATTTTGGGAAGAACTTTCTGTTGTAAAGTGAATTTGCTTCATCCTTTTATTACCAAGAAAATGGCATCGTTTGGTAATGATCTCCTAATTCTGTTAGTCACGCCATAAACATTTATTAAGTGCCTATGTCCCAGGCACTCTGCTAAGCCTTGGGGATACTAAAAGAGTCAAAAGACAATCCATGCTCTCAAGAAGCTCACAATCTAATGAAGTAGATGGCAAGCAAACAGATATGTGTGAACAAGATATAATAGAATAAATAGGAAATAATTAACAGAGGGAAGGCACTAGAGCGAGATGTTAGGAAAGGCTTTCTGGAGATGACTGGCTTTTACCTGGAAATTCAAAGAAGCCAGGGAGGCCAAATAGGCAAAGATGAAGAGGTAGAGAATTCCAGGAATGGGGTACTGCCAGAGAAAATGCCTGGAGCCAAGAGATCAATGTCGTGTTGAAGGACATCAGAGGCAGGTGTGTCACTAGATGTAAGAGAATGTGGTGGGAAGCAAGATATAACAAGATTGGATAAGTGGGAGAGGAAGGTTAGATTATGAAGGGCTTTTTATCACCAAACAGAATTTTATATTTGATCCTGGAGGTGATAGGGGGACACTGCAATACTTGTGCTTTAGGAGAACCATTTTGGAGGCTATATGGAGGATGAACTGGAATGATGACAGATTTGAGGCACGCCCATCAGCCAGTAGGCTACTGCAACAGTCCAAGCTTGAAGAGGTGAGGGTCTGCTGCAGGATGGTGGCAGTATCAGAGGAGAGAAGGGGCCAGAGTAAATGTTGCAAAGGTAAAACCAACAGACCTTGAAAAGAGATGTAGATGTTGGGGGGAAGAGGGAGATGGTAGGTAGCACTGGGTGAACCTAGGCTGGTAGCGCGAGGGGCTGAGCAGATAGTGGCGCCCTCCCAAGATCAAATGAAGCTGACAGGGTGCGTCCAATGTAGTCCCCATTTACTCTCTGTAAGGGGGAGCCCGTTCAGCTTGGGGGGCAAAGCAGGAGTGACCCGTCCCCTTCCTCTTCCCTCCTCGGGCATTTCTACTTCTAGCTCTTCACCTTCCCCAACCATTCCACCTCGTCCCCGGAGCTCTTCGCTTGTGACACACAGTCATTGGGAACTTTTGCTGCTGGAGCTCCTGGGGACACTGAGTAGGCAAGGAGCCCCTTTCCTCGGACAGGGAGGGGCAGAGGAGCGCTGGGGCAGAGCCAGGGCACCATCCCGGGGCCTGACATCAGGAGAGCACATGTCCCTGGGCACAGAAAAGAGGAGAGCAGAGACTCAGACAGTGGAAAAAGACCAGCAGGCTGGCTGGCGCTCTGATTGGCGGGCTGGGAAGGCCGCTGAGTACTCTGATTGGCTAAGAGGTCATGTCCCACCCTGATTCTGCTTGGGCCTGGGCATGCTGTCTGTTGCCAGCAGGATTTTAGCACAGATATGCCAAGGGGAAGGAGCCTGCAGAGGAGGGGGAGGGGCTGCAGAACTGGAATCCTCCTGCAGAGACACAGCATGCGCATTGGCTCCATCACAGCCCGTTGCCCCACAAGGAAGCTAGTTCATGGGGCGGCTATGCGTGTCGAGCATGCGCAGAGCCCAGGCCTTGGCCCGGCTGTTCTGGGGAGCTCGCGTCCTGCGCAGGGTTGGAGGGAGTACGGGCCCCATGAAGTCATGGCTCTCGTTCGACCGCTTGTGGTGTCAGGCAGGCCTGATACGTAGAAGAGTGCGCTGAGGTCTTGTTCCTGGCAGCAGCTTCTATGCCTGGCACGGGCGGTGATTAATGAGTACCCGTTAATTGGTGGATTGCAGGAGAGCACCAGAGACCTGGATAGGGTCAGGGCATCTGACAGTGAAACTACACCCAAGAGGAAGGGAAGAATGGGTATTTTAAAATGGAAAAAAAAAATCCCTGCCTTCAAGGAGCAGACGATCTTTTTTGGTTTTTTTTGTTTCGAATGGGCAATGGGGGTTAACTGACTCGTCCAGGGTCACACAGCTAGTGAGTCTTATGTGTGTGAGGCTGGATTTACACTCACATCTTCCCGACTCCAGGGCCGGTGCTCTATCCTCCGCCACCTAGCTTCCCCCGAGCATGCGTTCTAATAAGGAGGCAACATGTCAATCAGTAGGTCCATACAAGACTTATACAGAGTAAATGAAGGGGATGGAGAGAGGAAGGAGCTAGCAAGCAGCTGGTGAGAGTGGGAAAGGCTTCCTGCTGAAGGTCGGTTTTCCAAAGCCTGACATTCAGGAACACTCTCCTCACTGGTGGAGGGGATGATTACTCTGAGCTCTGTGGCTGTGTGAGGGATAGAGCTGGTGAGATCTTGAAGGAGGGAGGTCCTTGCCTTCTGGCTTCCAGCTCTGAGAGAAGACACAGGCAGTCCCAAGTTCTCTCCAGGAAAGGAAGGAACTAGGACGAAGCTGTTGGGGAGAATCTTATGCAAGCTTTGGCCTTGAGTTTCACACAGCTGCTAATTTCCCATGCCACCACCCTCCTTTAATATATCCTTTTAGTTTTGATTAAGGTGGACCCATTCAAAGACACGTTCCAGTCCTCCTGAGCTCTGCCCTGGCATAGGGATTCTGGAGAACGGTGTTCAGTTTTAGGAGTGCTGCAGTTGAGGAAGGACATTTACCAGTTGAAGAAAGTCTACAGAAAGGAAAATGGATTGGAGAGGGGAGCTTTGGCGTCATATGGTACGAGGAATGTTGAAAAGAACAGAGGTTGCTTCTGGAAGAGATAAGACTTACTGAGACATGGTAGCTGTCTTCAAGTATTTAAAGGGCCATAAAATAGAAGAGGGATGAGGACTGTTCTTTCTGGTCCCAGAAGCCATCCTTGACATAAGGAGTGCAAGTTGCAGACAGGCAGATTTGGGCTTGATTTCAGAAAAACAGCCCAGAGATTCAAGTCCTCCAGGGAGCACGAGAGGACAGGCCAAGCATGTGCCTTGACAAAGGCCCTGGAAAGACGGCCTTCTTGGCTGTAGAGAGAGGGGCACCTAGCTGCTCACTACTCCAGTGCCCACATGCTAATAGACAGTGGCACCAATTACAGCCCTGCACGTTCTGTCCAGTTGGTATCATATCCAGAGCAAGGACTCGGAACTCAGTTTTCTTTCCAAATTGCTGTTAGGTGGATGGTCAACCATTTTGCTGACACAACCCCACGATGCCATTCACTCCCTTCCCTGACATCCCACTCCCAGCCAAATCACAGGACAAACTGACACCATCCAGCAGACAAGAGAAGAGTATACTTTATTAGGTGACTACAAGGTAAAAATTCTTCACGCTACAAACAAGAAGGACCACTAGGTTTCAGGCTGAATCAGCATCACAGTCTAGGCTGCTAAGAACCCTGTCAGGAGTGAAAAACCCACACAGACAGTTCTTGGTATTAAATAATCAACTTATTAGGATATCTGCTCATAAACTGATCAGTGGTTTCTCTCCACAACCAAAGAGAAAACATGGAGAGCTTGAAAGGTGTGTAAGTAATCCAGGAAAGGGAATTCCCTTCACAAATGAAACTCAACCCTGATTGGTGGACATTTAATGGGGAGCTGGGCTAGACTAGGCTTCAGCTCCTCCTGCTGAGAACTTGGCTTGACCATGAGACTCAGCCACCTCTATCCAGACCACTCAGATTGGTTTTCTCTTTCATGAGCTGAGTCACCCTAAATTCTAATGTAGGGGTACAAGGACAGGGGCTGTTCTTCTTCAGGCAAAAACGTGCCCAGCCTGGATTCTATTTATAGTCTAAACATGAGTAAGGTCTCCTCCCTGGGTGGCGTCTTGCCCAGCATTAATGCCCATGTACCTTGAGGGCTAGGAGATCTAAATCCTGTCCTTCAGAGATTGACTTTTTACAGGGGTTGGGCCTGAAATGGGAAGCCAAGGAGCAAAAGCCTGGATCCTAAATTAATAATTGCTTATTAATATAACAGTGTCAACAGGGCAGTGGAACAAAGTGCACCCTTCTAAATGAAGAAGAGTCCAAGCCGGACTGAAAGCAGAAAAGTTGTATTAGGAGGAAAAGGAGACCCTAGTCCCGAGGCACCGCATTACACAGTAGAAAGGAGCCCACCACCCAGGACAAGCTGGGGAGATTTCTGCTCGACAAGCACAAAGGGGAGGACTGGGGAGGCGTCAGGAAACAGAAGGGCCAGTCTTCCCAGGAACAAGTGAGGCACAGAAGCAGGACGTTCTGTTGGAGGGTTCAGGCCGGCCTGGGGTGCACGGCTTAACGAGGTCAGCTGGGGACAGTGAGCAAGACTGGGCTTCCTGCAGCTCCTACTCTGGTCTGTGTCCAGTGCACCTTCCTGGTAAGGAAACGCACAGAAAACAGACATGTTAATCTTGGGGTACCCTCAGAATAGTAAAATGGCAATTTCTCTCAGGCTTCAACTTGAAATTTCTTCCATCCTGCACGCTCCCTTCCTTAAAGACGTGTCCGTGATTAACCGACTCTGAGTTTCCAGGAGGATTCCAGAGGGGGTGCGGGTGAAGGTAACGGCAGAGTTCTTTTGGGCCCAGTGTTCTACCCCATGGAAAGACCCGGGGAAGAGAATTCAGTGGTTCAGAGATCTGGAGGCCGTCTCGCCCTCTTCTTCAGAAGCACCCTGGCAGGGATAGAGAGGATAAGAGCAACTCAGTTCAAGGAGCACTGATGAACAGCTTCCTAAGTGCCAAGCACTGGCTGAGGGTGCTGAGCTTCCAAAAGTTCCTGCAAGCCTCTGCCCTCAAGGAACATGGGGAGATCCAACATGGATAGAGATCATTTCAAAGCATGGACCTGGAGGAGTAAGAGTAAAGGATGAGGGAGGGATTTCCCTGACAGATGACAGGAGAGCAGTCTGGAAAGGGGCTGAGATTCCAAGCAGCTGGAGTGCAGAGGGAATGTCTTGGAGGCCTGGAGGCCAGCCTGTGGAAAGGACCCAGAGGGGGAAGATTTTCCAGAGGACTTCCCTGGGAGTTCCCAGTGCCCCTAGAGACTTCTTCTTTCTCCTGCAAACCACAATTTAGGCACCTTGACTTTGTCCTAGAAGCCGACTTGCCTCTTGTTTTGTGTCTAGATCTTGCAGCTGGGTCAGGGTGTGGCCCTGGTGAAGGATGGAGTAGTGGCACACTAGGCAGATTTTCTCATTGTCTTCTCTACAGAAAAAGCTCCAGTTTTCCTGGTGCTTGGCACACCATCCCTCTAGAGTGGCCTGGGGCTCCTCAAGGAGCTGCTTGGCCAGCCGTACCAGGTTCTGCATCTTCCAGTTGGTATGGAGGTACGCAGGCTGGGATTTCTGAGGAAGGCAATCCCGGCAGAAGGTGTCACCAGAATGCTCTGTTACAGGGTCACTGAAGAAGCCTCCACAGGCGGGGCAGGTCAGAAGGTCCTGCAGGCCCCTGGACAGTGTCCATGCACTCTCCGCTCCTACATGAAAAAGAAGCCACAATAAGAATGAGAATCGGCTCCTCTTCCCTCTATTCAGAGCCCAGGGAGAGGGCACAGTTCATGAGCCCCACTGCCCACAGCCAGAAAGTTAGGCTCAAGGAGGACTGTGGTGCGTGCACGCGCACGCGCCCACACACACACACACAACTCCCAGTAGGAGGAAGGGGATTCCAATACAGGGATGAACTGCTGAGATTAAAGAAAGGGGAAGATTAGCTGGGCCATGCCCTTCAGGATGGACCCCCATGGAGGTGACTTCCCTAAAGTAACTCAACTAGTAAACTGAGAAGCCAGCCATGGTCCCAGGACTCCTAGCTCCAGATGTCACACAGGAGTGTGGAGAGGCAGGCTGAGGGAGTGGGATGAGCACTGTACCTGGAAGCAAAGTCTAGACTTAGAATCCCAGCTCTGACAGCTACTTGCTGTCACCCTCAACACATCCCTTCCCTCCTCTGGACTCCCTCATCACAATTCTCTATAAAAAATGTGCTTTGTTCTCACTAATGCCACCTCAAGGCCTCCCTACACCTCAGATCTTATGCTCAGAGACCATGAGCTCCTGATGGTCAGTTCTGCATAGAACTGGAGCCCCAGTGGAGTCCTGGTGTTGAGGACCAGCCCTGGGATGGAAGTGCCCAGGTTCCAGGGACAAAGGAGACATCTCACAAACATTTAGTGGGTATGTTTAGGCAGAAAACTTGCCTGTGTCTAAAGGGTGGCAGTGGCCCCTCCAGCTCTTGACCTCTGTCGCACTCAAGACAGTCTCTCTTTCCAGGTCCACCGAGTGCATTCCACGAGCAAGGATGAAACACTTAACTCCAGAGTTCAGCTAAGATGGGACCAGGAGGCCCAGGTCTCCTCGCTTAGATGTGAGTCTAAGGCTGGGACCCAGAGAAGGTCCAAAAGCACAGGAAATTCTCCCTGCAGGTACTTACCTTCACTGACAGGCTCCCTCCTCTTCTTCATTTCCTTCCAAGGCTGGGTTTCTCAGCTTCTCTGCTGTGCTGCCTTTGCCAGGTTCTAGCTCCAGGAAGTTCTGCCTCTCAGGCTCTGGCTCCTCTGAAATTTATATCTGCCTCTGACCACTTCCCTGATCACAGAGATTCAGACCTGTGAGAAGTATGAACTCTGGAAAATCACACCTTCCCAGACCCTCAGAGTTGGATTCCCTATGGACCTTAGCTGGAACCCAAACCCCAGAATCAATACCACTCCAACCTCCCTCAGGAGCTATCCAGCCTTTCCTTCCAAGTTTTCCTGTGAACTAGTCTCACTATCTCCTGAGGCAATCTTTTCTGCTTTGGAAACATCTCTTTTTAGAAAGTCTTCTCCACCTGGAGTTTAAGTATCTTTTTGTCACCTCCAATCTTGCTCCTATTTCTTTCTTTCTTTTTTTTTTTTGGTTAGGTAATGGAGTTAAGTGACTTGCCCAGGGTCACACAGCTAGTGAGTGTTATGTGTCTGAGTCCAGATTTGAACTCAGGTCCTCCTGAATCCAGGGCCGGTGCTCTATCCACTGCACCACATAGCTGCCCCTGCAATCTTCCAATCTAAGAGAACAGTCGTATTCCTCTTTATCATGACGGCCTGCTGACACTGGGGCTGTATCCCATGGGCTATTTGGCTCTACCTTCTGCCTTTGCCAGACAAGAGGCCTTAGTGAGGAGTAGAGAATGGCTCCGGTAGTCCTAACAGCAGAGAACCACCACTAATCTGGCATTTAAGGATATGGCTATGGACTTCACCTTGGAGAACTCTTCTCAAAAGGAAAAGTACAGGGATGTGATGTAAAGAAATATGGGAACCTGGTCTCTTTGGGATTTGCCTTTCCATGCTGGAGGAAGAAAGTGGAAGGAGGAAGTACCCTGGATGCTAGAGGGACATATTCTAGGAAGCAGCTGTGAAGGGAAACACTGACCCTTCACAGCCTTCATCTGGGGAAGGAATTCCTGCAGAGAAGAGGCTAGTCATTCCTACCAGCTGCCAATCAACTGTCATACACATGCCAAGCTAGCTGAGCTGAAGCAGCAAGGCTCTCACTTGTCTCATTTATCTAAATCCTTCCTAAAATGGGACACCCTTACCTCTACACTTGATTAAGGGATTTGGAAGAAGAACAAGCAGGAGACTAGGGCAGTTACCTTCAGGGGAAATAGAGGACTTCCAAACCTTCCTAATGAAAAGACCAGAGCTCAATAGAAAATCTGACCTTCAAATACAAGACTCAAGAGAAGCATGAAAAGGCAAAAAGGAAAGGAAAAAAAACCCTATTATTAATATGGGCAAACTGTTTCCATCCCTACAAGGGAAGATGACACTTATAACTCTTAAGAAATGACATCACCTGAAACGGCACAAAAACCAAATAGAGTAGAAAGAAAGAAGGGAGGGAGATGAGCATTGTTTGAACCTTACTCTCATCACATTTGGTTTAAAGATGGAATAACATAATCAGGTAAAGAAATCTAACTTACCCTATAGAAAGTAGAAAGGGTAAAGAGAAGAGAAAAGGGAGGGGGCTAATAGAAGGGAGGAGAGACTGAGGGAGGCAGTGGTGGAAAGCAAAACTCTACCAAGATGGGAAAGGAAAAAGGAGAGAAAAAAGCATGGGGTGTGGAATAGGATGGAGAGGAAGACACAGACAGTAATCCTAACTGTGAATGTGAATGGGATGAACTCTCCCATAAAATGGAAATGGATAGCAGGGTGGCTTAAGAACCACAAACCTGCAATATGTTGTCTACACGGAACACATTTGATGCAGAGGGGTACGCACAGTGAAGTAAAAGGCTAGAGCAGAATATATTATGCTTCAGCTGAAGTAAAAAAAAAAAAAAGGAGTAGAAATCCTGATCTCAGACAAAGCAAAAGCAAAAATAGATCTAATTAAAAGACCACAAGGAAGGAAACTACATCCTGAAGTAAATGAAGCAAGATTTTTAAATAGAATATTAGCAAAAAGATGACTGCGACTCATCACAAGAATAATACACTATGACCAGGTAAGATTTATACCAGGAATGCAGGGCTGGTTCAATATTAGGAAACCGATCAGCATAACTGATCACAGCAACAACAAAACTAACAGAATCCATAGGATCATCTCAAGAGATGCAGAAAAAGCATCTGACATCTTCTCTGCAAAATAATCTTGAGAAGGAAATGGCAAACCTCTCCAGTATCTTTGTCAAGAAAACCCCAAATAGGCCAGAAAGAGTCGGACACTGCTGAGCAATGACATGCTTTTTTATGCTTCCTATTTAACGTTATGCTTTAGTAATTGTTGAACATTTTGGGTTCCTTCATGGGTAGATCTAGTTAAAATGGTCTGGTACCATTGGGATGTTATTAACGTTTTTCTTATCTCCTTTTAGACACACACACACACACACACACACACAGAGCTTCAAAGGCCTGAAGCACTTTATATTCTACAAGTTAGTGGAATGACTTGGTAGAATATTCCTCTAAACAAACTCCTGGCCTTGATGGATTCACAAGTGGATTTTATTAAACTTTGAAAGGATAGTTAGTATTCATAATTCACATAATCCCCCAAACTGAGAAATAAAGGATCCCAGCAGAATCCTTTTATGAGACAAATACAGTCTTAACACCTAAACAGGGCAAAGAAAAAAACTGAGAAAGAAAACTACAGGCCAATATTTTTAATAAACATTGGCTCAAAAGCTGTCAATGAAATCCTATGAAACACACTACAATGTGTATCCAAGAACACATCCGTTATGATCAAATGGGATTTATACCCCCTATATACAGATGGTTCACTAAATCCAAAACATACAAAACCACATAATCATCTCAATAGATGCAGAAGAATCCTTTGACAAAGTACAACACTTTTATGTTAAAAATCCTACAAAGTATAGGCAGAGAGGGACCTCTTTTTTTTTAGGCAGCTAGGGTTAAATGACTTGCTCAGGGTCACACAGCTAGTAAGTGTCAAATGTTTGGTCTGGGACCTCTTTTAAATATCATAAAAAGCATCTACCTAAAACCAAAAGTTCTATGCACGAAGGATACAGTAGAACTTTCCCCAATAAACATAGGAATGTAGCAAGAATGTCTGTTCTCATCTGATGTAATTTTGGAAGTGGCATTTGTTGTCTGCTCATTTTAGTTGCGGCTGACTCTTCGTGGCCCCAGCGAGGGTTTTGTTGTTTTCCTTGTGTGCAAAGATGCTGGAGTGGTATGTCATTTACTTTTCCAGCTCATTTTACAGACGAAGAAACTGAGGCAAACAAGGTTGAGTTCCCTACAGTCAGGTGCTAGTGTCTGAGGCCGGATCTGAATCAAAAATTGGCAAAAATGATCAAAACCAGTCAACAGGCAGAGTCGGAGGCAGGCACACTGGTGCATTGTTGGTGGAGCTGTGAAAGTACAACCATCCTGAAAAGCAATTTGGGAGTGCACAAAGAAAGCGCTGAACCCTCCGCCTCTGACCCACACTCGTTCACCGTTGGGCCCACGGCCCGAGGAAGCCGCACGGAGTCTCTATGCCTCCAAATGTTCACGGCGGCCCCCTCCGTGACCGCTGAGAGCGGGCACCCAGGCCGGGGCTGCCAGCTGGGGCCCGACGCTCCCCCTTGGCGCCCCTCCCCTGAGCGGCCGAGTGGGTGACGACCCACGCGCGGCCGGGAGGAGTCATTGCGCACCTACCCGGTGCTAGGCGCGCTGAGCAGCAGGGACACAGAGAGGAGCCCTGGCCTCAGGCGGCTCACCCTCTAACCTACCCCTCTCCCAAGGCCCGGGGCGGTCTGGCCCCGGATCTGAGCCGCACACAGACGCGTCCGGCCTCCCAGCAGGGCTGGCACCGCCCCTCCCCCCAGCTGCCCCGCAGCCCCGGGAGGGAGCTCCGCGCATGCTCAGCCACGCAGCCACCCTCAGACGGCTCCATTCCTCTTAGGGCCAATGGCCGCCTTGTAAGCCGCTGCTCAAGCGCAGGCCCCGGAGCCCCGCTCCGAGCTCTTCTTCCCGGCGCCCTAACCCGCTTCTCTCCAACGCCCCAGGACCCGCTCCCCTCCGACGTCAGGCCCCATGCTCACCCGCACGCGCGCCCCGAGACGGACCTCTAAACGGCGCCGGCCAGCCAGCCGCACAGGCGCGTGCTAGAACCGGGTAGGCCGTGATCGCTCGGCCAATCAGCGTCGGCAGCGGCTCACCAATCAGGACTCAGCAGCCTGTCCACCCCACCAATCGGAGCGCCAGCCTGCTTGCAGGTCTTTGTCTCAGCTGTCGGAGGCTCTGGGCTCCTCTTCTCTCTGCCCGGGGGCACGTGTCCTCCTGACGTCTGGCCCTGCCAGTGTCGTCAGGCCCCGCGGTAGTGCCCTGGCTCTGCCCCAGCACGCCTCCGCCCTCCTGGGCCAGGGAAAGGGGATTCTTGCCTGCCTCGGTATCCCCAGGAGCCCCGGCTGGGAAGGTCCCCAATGACTGGGTGTCACAAGCGAAGACCTCAGGGGCCGAGGCCGAATGCTTAGCGAGCGTGAACAGCTAGACCTGGAAATGCCCGAGGAGGGAAGAGGGAGGGGACAGGTGACTGCCCCTGCAGGGAGCAGAAGGAGCCCCCCCACACCTGGAGGGCCCCCCAAAGATAGCAGGACCCTCTCCTGCTGGAAGATGACGTCATCTCGAGAACGCTCACCTCCTCTGATCGTTTGCCATCCTGCCCAGGGATTCACCGCCTCCCCCTTCTCATTTTCAGTTTCTTTTAAAACTATTATGCTATTTAATATTTCCCCCAATTACACATAAAAACAATGCTTAGCATTCCTTTAAAAAATTTTTGAGCTCCAAATTCCCTCCCTGACTCTCCCCCTCGTTGAGAAGAAAAGCAAGATTACATAGGTAGTCCCTCAATTCTTAAATTATCTCTCTTTGATCTGTTTTCTAGCTCAGTTCTTTTTCTGATATTTCACATTTTCTTGTATTTTTTTTTTCATTCTTTTGACTTTGTTTATTGTTCCTTCATGTCATGGAATCATTAGCTTCCAATTACCCAATTCCAATCTTCTTCACTGAGCTTTTGTGTCTCCTTTCCATTTGGCCAATTCTGCTTTTTAAGGCATTCTCCTCCAGTGGCTAGAGGTAGATCAGGACAACTCATGGCACCACGCCAAACTAGAAGGAGCTCACAAGTCAAGAGTCCTGGAGATCTGTTCTAACCATACTCTGACCCTGTCTGATACAGTTTGGTGGCCCCAGGATCAAACATGAAATCCTTGGTTCAGGTTTTAAAGCCCTTCTAGCTCGGCTCCTTCTTCCTTTCCAGTCTTCTTTTAACTTCTTTTCACTTAGGGCTCCAGGAAGCTGTGGTACGTACAGCAGCCACAGCCTGGTGAAGCCAGGCTAACACACACTGACAGTATCCAACAGGTCTCAAATCCCTCAGTGAGGTGGGGGATGTCTACCCAAGCATGTGCAGACTTCCCCTGGCAGAATGGGTGGATGCCAATAATTGGTTCCAATGCCCATGAAGGAGGCTGAAGCACGGTTTCATCAGCGTCTCTCAGTAGATGGATCCCAGATCTATCTATTTAGCTCTTGTCTCTCCGAGCTTTGGTCCTACAGCAACAACGGGCTTGTGGGCATTTCCAGTTAGATGGGCTGTAGGCATTTCAAACTCAGCATGTCTGAGACATCATCCATATTTCCCCCAAACTGACTTTTATACAAAATTTCCCTACATTTGTTAAGGGCAGCCACATACTTCCATTGACTCCCTTTCACCTCTCATGTCCAGTAAGTTCTCAAATCTTCCTATTATTTTCTCCATCCCCTTCTCGGCACTCACAGGCCACAAGCCTAGCTGAAACTCTGGTTAGCATTATGCTGGATTATCACAAAAAGATCTTACTTGTTCTCCTTCACTCCTCTCTCTATACTCCACTCTCTCATCCACATGGCTGCAAACACAAAATATTAATTGTCATTACATTTTTATTTTTACATCTAATACCAAATATGAAGTATTTTTCTTAAAGTGAAATTTTAACCAACCTCACTCCCCTCAACAAATTCCAATGGCTTCCCATCACTTCTAGGAGCAAATGTAACCTGTCTTCTTCTGTCATTTTAACCCTTCACTCCCTAATCTAGGGGTGAGGGACCTAGGGCCTTGAGGCCACACGATCCTCAGGTGCTGCCTTGGGACTGAATCCACCTTGGATTCCTCACCTGCCTTTCTACCTGCAGTGCCTGTAGATCCTCACAGACCATGATGGACCAGCCTCATGAGCCTCCTTAATTTCCTCATTGATTATGCTCTACCTGTTTTCTCTATACCCTTGTGTTGGATGTCCTGCCATCTCTGGAAGGCCCTCCCTCTCTGACAATCCCTAATTTCCTTTGGTAAAGACATGATGACAGCTGATTCCTAATTGAGCAGTAAGCTTTTCCTTAAGGAGGCAGGCAGTGGCCTCAGGAGTAAAAACAACAACAACATTATTTTAAGATTAAAAGTCTGGTGGTTGTTATCCTTTGTTCTCAGAGGCCCAAAAGGACATCACCATGTTAGGGTCACGTTACGGGGCGTCCGGCTGTGACTGATCAGACCAGGACCAGTTTGGAACCCACTACCACAGGTCAGGCACAAATAGTCCATGTGAACATTGGGGACGGATGTGCTACATCTGTGCGTCCCGCATTTCTGTTGAGCTACTACAATTCTGCTTTGCTCATGGAGCACGGCACCTTCTCTGAGGAGGGCAAGCCATGCAGGGCAATCCTGTGCCAGCGTCTCCCATGTCGCACAATCGATTCCAAAGCTCTTAAGAGACACCTTGAGGGTGTCGTTGTATCGCCTCTTCTGACCACTATGTGAGCACTTGCCCTGTGTGAGTTCTCCACAAAATGGTCTCTTTGATACACATAAGTTTGGCATTGAAACAGTGTGGCCAGCCCGTCGGAGTTGAGCTCTCTGCAGTAGACTTTGAATGCTTGGCAGTTTAGTTTCAGAAAGGACCTCAGGGTCTGGTATCTTATCCTGCCAGGTGATCTTCAGAATCTTCCCAGCACAATGCAAATGGAAGCGATTCAGTTTCCTGGCATGGCGCTGGGATAGTGTCTGGGTTTCACAGACATACAACAATGAGGTCAGCACAACAGCTCTGTGGACCTTCAGTTTGGTAGTCAGTCTAATACCTCTTCTGTCCCACACTTTCCTTCAGAGCCTCCCAAACACTGAGCTGGCTCTGGCAATGCATGCGTCAACCTCATTCTCAATGTGTACACCTCTGGGAAGGATACTGCCAAGGTAAGCGGGAACTTATCCACACAGGCGTAGTCATTACTTTGCCAGACGTGACAGCAGGTACCTATGGATGGCCCCATCCTGCTTTTCCAGTTTTTTTTATACCTTGCCCCCACCCCCAGGTGCTCTGTGATCCAGTGACAGTAGCGTTTTTGCTGCTTCTCCCTAAGTCATTCTGTCCTGGTGCATGTCCTCACCACCTCAGGCCTGGGCTACTGTAATAGCCTGCTAATCCAGGCCATCTGCTATAGGCCCCTTTACTAACACTAATTCCCATTCTTCTAAACTGCCTACCCTCTGGCTTCCAGTCTCATCCAAATTGCCAGTGATCTCTTAATGACCAAATCCAGGGGCCTTTTCTCAGTCCTCACCCTCTCCTTCACCCTATGCCCCATCACCATATATCTGAACCATTGCAATGGTCTGCTGGCGTATCTGCCTGCCTCAGCTCTCTCCCCAGTTCGATCCATTCTCCATTCAGCCACCAAAGCCATTTCATAAAGTTCAGGTCCCATCATATCACCTCCCTACTAAAACCAGCCAAGAAACCAACCCAGATGTTCTCTATCAACCTCAGGATCCAGTACAGAATGCTCTGCCATCACATCCCTTCATAACCTCCCCCCCCCCACCTGGACAGTCTCCTTACACAGTATTGCCTGCCATACATGGTTCATGCTCTCTCTTGAGCGAGTGACTCCACCTCTGGGCTCAGGGCATCGTCACTGTGTGCTCGCCTTGCCTTGGATACTCTTCTGCCTGAACCCTCTTCTGGCTTCTCTTGCTTGGTTCAACTCTAACCTAAAACCCCCTTTTCTACAAAAGGCCTTTCCTGATGCCCCCTTCCTTCTGATGGCTTCTTTCTGGTAATTCTCTCCATTGCATCCTGTAGATATCTTGGTTGTAAATACTTCCTCACAGGTGGGCTCTCTCAGTGAAGTAGGAGCTCCCTGACGGCAGGGACTGCCTTTTCTCCTTTGGCAGTATTCTTGCTGTTTAGCAGAGGCTTTAGCATGTAGTAAGTTTTTCATAAATGCTCCTTCACTGGCTGCCTCTGTGGTTGTATTACAGACCTCTGTGTGATGCTGATTCTTTGGGGAGAGAAGTCTAACTTGTGTGTCTCTGCTTTCCTTCTATTGAAGTAAAGGACCCCATTTCGTTTTGTTAATGAAATGGGCTCCTCAAGGAAGTGTCATAGTATTAGCATAATGTGGTGAGCAGAGTTTTTAACCCATTCCTTTGCTTACCATGCGTAAGGGTTCATATAGTGCCCTAGTGGTTTCTTAATATAAATGTTTTCTCTGTGCCCCAGGAAGTTATAACAAAATGGATCTGTAAAAATCTGTCTCCCTCCCTCCAGTGGTATATTTATATATATTTAACAACTGGCTCCCCAGAAAAAAAAATGTACAGAAGACATGTTTCTTTGTCTTCAAAGAGCTTCCTGGGGGCAGCTAGGTGGCCCAGTGGATGGAGTGCTGGCCCTGAAGTCAGGAGGACCCGAGTTCAAATGCGGCATCAGACCAAACACTTGACACTTACTAGTTGTGTGATCCTGGGCAAGTCACTTAACCCCAATTGCCTAAAAACAAACAAAGAAAAACATAAAAAACAAAAAGCTTCCTGGTTTGAGACAGCTCAAAGGCAGTTCCAGGCTCTCTTTAGGAAGGGAAAGATTCTGTGAAGAAGCTGACATCTTCCACCAAGGAGGAGAGTCTTATACAAGTGTCAGGTGGGAGTCATGGGTTATCATTGTCTATATTCCTTGTCTGGCTACTCCCTTTAACTCTACTCTTTAGTTTCTCTGCTATCCAAAGGCACATTGCAGTCCTATCACGCTTTGCCATAGGCCTACCGATTCTGGGGTACTGTGTCCAGATCTGGAGGGGTGACACAAATAAAACAGCATAGTCATGGGTCCGTGGGCATCTCTAGGCGGGGAAACAGAATGGAGAAGGGCGTTAGGTTCATGCTCTGTGAGGACTGGTGAAGGGAATGGGGCTTTTGTCTCTGAAGGAGACAAGACTTAGTGGGGACATGATTTGTTTCTTCCAATACTGGAAAGGCCATAGTGAGGGAG